CAGCCTAGCCCCTGGTTCCGGGGTCCCCTGCACGGTCACCACCCGGGAAATCAGACAGCCTGTCCCTCGGCAGTGAAGTGAGTCCTGCTGTGAGAGCAGGGAACTCTCGCTCTCCTGATGGGAGATCTCGCCTTCCTGCGCCCATGAATGAGCCTTCCAGCCCTTCCTCCATCCCTGGAGGGGTGTGGGCTGGGGAGGCCCTGGCGGACAGCGGGACCCTGCAACCCCTCCCACCCCCACTCACCTGCTGTGTGACTGTGGGCAAGTCACTAACTTTCCTGCCTTAGTCCTCACATGAATGAAATGAGACAATAATGCTTCCTCAAAGGATTGTGGAGGGTTTAGGGACATAATGTCTGGACAGGGGGCGTCTCACACTTGAGCCAGCATCAAATCTCCTGGAGGGCTTTTTAGGACCCAGATCTGAGGCCTACGGACAGAATTTCTTACTCGGTGGGTCTGGGTAAGGCGTGGGGATGTGTGTTTCTAGCAGGATCCCAGGCGTTATATTGCTTCTGGGACCCCAGTCTGAGAACCACTGCCCAATGCCCTGTCCACCATCAAGGCTCCAGAGGGGATAGATAACATTTGTGATGTAGTCGACACATAAAGAATCCACCACAGTGCCAGGTTCTGGAACATTCCTGATTTCAGGGCCTCTAGAATGCACGCACACCAAGTGTGGGACGGGTGGCTCTGTCCTGGGGGCCCCTAGGGCGCCAGCCAATAAGCCTGTGGAGGGGGGAAGCAGAGTCTGTCTGGGCCACCGTGCCAGGAGAGCCCAGACCGGGGAATTTCAACCATGGAACAAATCTCCGTGTGCACACACACTCCCCGTGCCCCTTCCTCTTCCTCTTCTCACAAGCACACGAGTCCTGTTGGATCAGGGCCCCAACCTATGACATCCTTTAACCTGGCGCCTCCTGAAAAGCCCTGTCTCCAGACACAGTCTCCTGGGGGTAGGGCTTCAACCTAAGAATTGGGGGGACACAGTTCTGTCCATTCAGGGGGTGACAGGGAAGTTCACCTGGGCTCAGGCCAACCTGCCTCGCCAAAGCTCCCCCCCAACCACCACATGGCTGGGCAGGAGCAACCAGAACCCAGCCCCAGGTGGCAGCAACCACACCCCCCCCCCCCGTCCCCAGCCCCCTCTCCCAGAGTCCAGTGACTCTCCTCCCAGTGGTTGGCCACCTCTTGGGTAAATTGTTCATCAGAAGATACTCTCCAAAGCATGGCCCACATGCTGTTGTCATTGATTCTGTTTTGATTATTCATATTAGTGGATTATAGCTGCCTCATTGTGGGTGGTAATTAGGGTAAGTGTCGCATACGGGCCAGGTCAGTGCAGGAGTGGGATGGGCGTTCCTGCGACAGGCACCCCAACCCCGACTTGCTGGTCAGTCCTCCTGCAGGGAATGCTCTGGGCGCCCCAGCCAGAGTCGTGGGGAGGGGGCAGGACAGCAGCGGGAGTGCTGGGGGATCCACGGGAGCACCTGCATACCCGTTTCCAGTGGAACGTGGGGTTCTCCTGGGAACTCCCGGACTGCACTGGCCTGTGGGGAAACGGGCTTGGCCCACCCACACCTGCCTTCTCCCCCTGTGATACCTGACCCTGCCCAGCCTTCCTGGGACCAGCGCCCAGGGCCAGGCATGGGTGGCACAAGGGGGACCCCAGGAGGTCCGCCTTCCTGGGATTTGCCACAGCTGGCTCCTCCCATTTGAGGAGGCCGACTATGGCCTGGGAATTAGGAGCCCAGTGCCTCCCACCAAGACCTAGCAAAGAGAGGGGACAAACATGACCCAGAGCCACCAGCAGACTATTTTTCCAGGAATTCCCTTTTCTCTTTCTGTGCTTCCCTCACACTCACCCCCACCCCACAACCCTCCCCCCCAGGTCATGACCTTACATTTAACCAAGTGTATTTTTAATGCAGTTTCCCTTTCGCTGATTTTGCGAAGGTTGGGGTGAGAGGCGGACAGGGGACAGCCGGCCAGTGCACGTGTTTACTAACCTTCCCTGCATAAAACACTCTTTTCCCATAGAAATCTCCTTCCCCGCTGATTCATTACGTGTCAGGAAGCAGAGCATGACATGTTAAAAGCCGTCTTGATAGTATTTGATATTCAGAACCGACAACTCCCCAGCTCCGAGGAGGAGGGGGCTTCTCTCCCCGCCCCTACCGGAGGGGAGGGACATGATCTGCATATCGAATGTGCCAAGGCAGTAGGTAATTTGCATTAAGCATCCAGAAATTCTCTGCTTGCAAGCTGTCACCCTTCACTGGGTTTTCATTTTAGAACCTTCACAACAGAAAAGAGGAAAGCAAGAGGCAGAAGGAATGCAGTGAGTGAGCCCCGGCTCCTCTCAGCAGGGCCGGGGAGGAAGACCGGAGAGGGCGGCAGCAGAGAGGGAGGGGCTCTGGTCCCGAAGGCCAAAGGACTCCAGAGGGATTCAACAGCCCACCCACCCCCAAGACCCAGACCTCCGGGCAAGGGGTGGCCCTGGGGCCAGAAGCCGGAGGTGGGCTGCCCCTGGGGAGGCCCACTGCTCATCTCTCCAGAGACAAGCTCAAAGCCAGGAGGGGTTTCCTGAGAGCGCCTTGGTCTGTCTTTGTAAGCGGCATCTGCTCAGAGCCCCCGGTAGGAAGGAGCGGCAGTGGTGGGCTCCCAAACTGACAGTGACCTGCAGAACTCAGGCTTAGGACAGAACTGCGTGTTCACCATCTGGCCTGCCCAAGAGGAACTCCTGGGAAGCTTTAAAAAAAAAAAAAAAAAGCCTGGCACCACCCCAGAGCAGGGGCTGGGACACACCATCGACAGGTGCAGCGGCGCGGCGCAAGAGGAGGGGTCTGCAAGCCCTGCCCCCTCCCCCCAGGCTCTGCTTCCTCCTCTACAAAACAAGGAGTCCAGGAGAGGTCAGCCGAGCCGACCCTGGCCTTCACTCCTGCCTTGACCAGGCCCCTTCTGCTCTTATTCATCTTCCATATGGGGTTTGCAGGTGGAGGTTCACTTGAGAAAAGGGCTCCGCAGTGGTAGTGAGATTGGCAGAGCCTGGCCTGGGCCTTGCCTTTCAGTGGCCGAGGACAAGGTGGGGCTGAGCCAGCAGGAATGCTGATGTCCTCTCGGGCCGCCAGAGCGCTCCCTGAGGGATCCCAAGGTGGGAGAAGGTGGTCTGCCAACTGCCCCGCCACCTTCTGCCCAGGCCCCTCGTACAGCGATCTGAAGAGGCAGACACGACTTCCCAGCCAGGTAGCTCAGCCAGCTCGGGGACAGGAGCCGCTCAGCAGCCACGCCCCATCCCCTTGTGATGATGCCCCAGATGCCAGGACACTCTGGGACCAGGGCCACCAGCCTCATCAGGAAGGGGCCAACACCTGGGGCCAATGTGCCCGAAGGAAGAAGGAAGGAAGCAGCACCCGCCAGGACTCCCAGCGCATCACACCCACGCAAGAGGGGGTTTCTCTGAAAAAGCACTGAAGTCCTACATAAAGGAGGTGACCAGGAGTGATGGCGGAGGAGCGCTCTCCGCGGGGTTCCAAGGCAGAACCACGGGGGGCTGTCCCAGCAAGCAGCTTCCTTCCCCATGCCCAGCCCCGCCAGCGTCGGGCAGGCCCTGGGTGAGGCCGGCATTACGCCTGCTCACGCCGTCCCCCCAGGGACCGTCAGGACAGCAGCTGTTCTTTGGGGCGAACACAGGAAGGTCAAGGCAGGAGGTCGGCCTCTCCTGCTGGCTGCCCTGTGAGGCAGAGGCTGTTCTGTTCCCGTTTCACAGGCGAGTTTAGTGACTTGCCCAAATTCACACCGAAACCTGGCCTCCCGTCCGGATGTGAATCTGACCCAGCTCCTCCCGGCGTGTGGACGGTCTCCCTGGGCAGCTGCCCCCCGGAGCCTCACAGAGGGAGGGCAGGCATGAGGCACGGTGACGGTCTTTCCCTGGAGGCCATGTGAGAGAAGCTCCTCCAGAGGACAAAGGAAATTGTCCTTGCGTTGGCAAAGCCACTGGCCTCTCCCCAGCGTGCCCCCGCCCTGCTTCTCTTCCCAGACCACCTGGTCCCACCGTCCCTGTTTCACAGCAAGCTGGGTCCCTCCTAGAGCCCTGGGCACTGGCCCCCAGCCCCAGGGCTAGGCCCTCCCTGTCCCTGGAACTGGCCCCCTAGTGCCCCCAGAGAGAGCTGGGCTGGGCCGTGTTCCTGGCGAGCCCGCAGGGCAGCTCCAGCGGAGGACCATGAACGAGTGGGTGAGACACCCATCAGCCCCCAGGCCCCGTGGGCAAGTCAGTTTATTCTAGACTTTCAGCCGCGGTCCTGCAGGCAACTGGGGAGCCCACCCTCAGCCGATCTGTGGATCCGCCCCATCAGCAAGGACAGCGGAGGTCCCGGGGTCGGCCATGCAGGGGGCCGGTCATCAGTGGGCATCGACTGTTCTGGTCATGTGGGCCACTCATTCCCCCCCTCCCCACCCCACGGCCTAGCCTGCAGCCCCCCTAGGCAGAGAAGTCAGGTGAGAACGAGAAACAGAAGCTCCCCTCCAGGGCTGGGCCTCCACCCCGGGCACACAGCCTCCGTCTCCTCTCCAAATCTCCACTACCTACAGTCTGGGCAGGGTGGGCGGCCTCAGAGGCCTGCCGCCTCTCCTTCCTGTCCCGGCTCCCCTCTCCTCCACTCCAGGGCCCCTGGAAGAGCCGCTCTCGTGCACTTGGACTCCAGGAAAACAGAAGCAAATCTCTAGGCCGTCCTCTCCCCAGGCTGCACTGCAGGGAAGGGAGGAAGCGGCAGTGGAAGAGCACGGAGCTCCCGGGAGTGCAGGCCCGAGGGGGCAGCCTGCCCCGCTCTGTCCTCTGACCTCCCTCCCCCCCCATGTGCATCGGCCCCCCCCAGCCAGCCTCCCAGCAGAGGGGGAGCCGTATTCTGAGAGGACCCAGGTCCCAGGCCCCCCACCCCCGGGCCCTGCCCCTGCACCAGGTGACCTCTGACCGCCCCTCTGCCTCTCTCTCCCCATAGTCCACGGCATCAAGTGGACCTGCAGCAATGGAAACAGCAGCTCAGGCTTCTCTGTGGAGCAGCTGGTGCAGCAGATCCTCGACAGCCACCAGACCAAGCCACAGCCTCGGACCCACAACTGCCTCTGCACGGGCAGCTTGGGTGAGCAGCGCCCCCTGCGGGCGGGGAGGGGGCAAACGGGCAGCGTGGGTGGGTAGAGCCCCCTGCGGGCGGGGAGGGGGCTCTGCCAGACAGCCGGTGTGGCTCTCCTCCACAGGTAGCCTTGCTGTCGAGTGAGCCCAGTGGGGTTGGCCAGGAGCCAGGGGACAGGGCGGGACAGCACCTGGGACAGACTCACCCTCATCCTGGCCCGTGGTGCTGGTGGGGAAGCCCACTTGGGGCAGGAGAAGCCGTTTCTAGAGAGACAGCTCCCGCTAGGGATGGGGGCAGCAGAGATGGGGAGTGCCTAGGGCTGGGGCTCCAGGCCTCGTCTACATACGGCAGGGACTCTCCAGGTCCCATCTTGTGTATCGTCCACAGGAAGCCCGGGTGCCCGGGCACAGGGCTGACATGAGCATTTCAGGGAGGTGGCCTGGAGTCAGTGAGCCCACTCAGGCTAATCTTTCTTTACCCTCGGTCTCCTCCAAGAATAGAGTGTCCCACCCTCCCTGTCCTCACGTGTCTGTTTTTCTGATAACGGTATTTGCTTTTAGAAATACGCGTTCTCCACCCCCTTGTCTGCCTTAATTACACATTTCCATTAGACGGTCATGTCACTTCTCCGCAAAGTCTTCATGCATTTAGGAATTATGGTGGTGAGGCTATAATAGGCTCGGGGAGGGGGGGATTCACCCTTTTATCAGAAGTTAAGTGACCCTCCTCATATGGAATGAAAACAATGGCAGAGGGGAGAGAAAAGAGAAGAGCCCACCTGGCCTCATGTGCAGAAAGCCCTGCGGAGACTAGACAGAGTTCAGAAGCCCGTGGCCTAGGGCTTTCTCCCTCTCTGCCACTGGGCTGGGGATTTAGGGCTCTGTCTTTGCTTGGGTCTTGTAGGGATTTTGACCCACAAAGAGTTGAGGACAGGCCTGGGCTGGCCAAATGGAGGAGAGGGGCAGATACCTTTCTGCCTCTGGAGCAAAGCCTAGAACCCAATCTGGTCCTGGTGCCTGAGAGCTAACCCAGAGAGAAAACATTGCTCTCCAACCCCTGCCCCCCAAAACACTCTATGCAGCCTGAACAGGCATGGAAAGTTGGGGGAGGGGAGAGATACATGGCCACCACTCTGGGCTGAGCTCCCCTTACCCTCCCTGGCCAGCAAGAGCTATTTCAGGAAATGGTGTCTGTCTCTGAAGGTGGAAAGGATTTTCCTGGAGGACAGCAGACTTTCCACCTTCTCCTTCCCAATGACCCATCTCCTGAGGCACTACTATTAGTATTGTTAGTAGTAGTAAAGGCACCCCAAGGAAAGAGCCCCCCCCACCCCGGTCTGGAGGATGGTTCTGTGGAGCATGTGAGAGGCCCAGGGATTGGGGTCGGTGAGCCCGAGATCCCAAGCGTGGGGTATGTGCCTGCCCCAGGAGTCAGTGGGCTGCCCGGGCTCCCAGGCTAGGCCCAGCCAGGCCCCAGCTGCTCAGAGACAGGGTCCATCACGGCCACGGCTCTGATGCTCTCTTCGCATGTGCGTGTGTGTATGTGTGTGTGCGTGTGCGCACGCACGTGTGCGTGGTGTGCCTCTGATCTCCACAGGCGCGGGCAGCAGTGGGCACCACAAGTGCAACAGTGCCAAACACCGTATCATCTCGCCGAAGGTCGAGCCGCGGACAGGGGGGTACGGGAGTCATGCGGAGGTGCAGCACAACGACGTGTCCGAGGGCAAGCACGAGCACAGCCACGGCAAGGGCTCGAGCCGCGAGAAGAGGAATGGCAAGGTGGCCAAGCCCGTGCTCCTGCACCAGAACAGCACGGAGGTCTCCTCCACCAACCAGGTGGAGGTGCCCGACACGACACAGAGCTCCCCCGTGTCCATCAGCAGCGGGCTCAACAGCGACCCGGACATGGCGGACAGCCCCGTGGTCACCGGCGTGTCCAGCATGGCCGTGGCCTCCGTGATGGGCAGCTTGTCCCAGAGCGCCACGGTGTTTATGTCTGAGGTCACCAACGAGGCCGTGTACACCATGTCCCCCACCACCGGCCCCAACCACCACCTCCTCTCGCCCGACGCCTCTCAGGGCCTCGTCCTGGCCGTGAGTTCCGACGGCCACAAGTTCGCCTTCCCCACCACGGGCAGCTCGGAGAGCCTGTCGATGCTGCCCACCAACGTGTCCGAAGAGCTGGTCCTCTCCACCACCCTGGATGGCGGCCGGAAGATTCCAGAGACCACCATGAACTTTGACCCCGACTGTTTCCTCAATAACCCAAAGCAGGGCCAGACGTACGGGGGCGGAGGCCTGAAGGCGGAGTTGGTCAGCACCAACGTGCGGCACTCGCCGCCAGTGGACAGGGCCTTCAGCTTCACCACCGTCCTCACCAAGGAGATTAAGACCGAGGACACCTCCTTCGAGCAGCAGATGGCCAAAGAAGCGTACTCGTCCTCGGCGGCGGCCGCGGCGTCCAGCTCCCTCACCCTGACCGCCGGCTCCAGCCTCCTGCCGTCGGGCGGCGGCCTGAGTCCCAGCACCACGCTCGAGCAGATGGACTTCAGCGCGATAGACTCCAACAAGGACTACACGTCCAGCTTCAGCCAGACGGGCCACAGCCCCCACGTCCACCAGACCCCGTCCCCGAGCTTCTTCCTGCAGGACGCCAGCAAGCCCCTCCCCCTCGAGCAGAACGCCCACAGCAGCCTGAGCGACTCTGGGGGCACCTTCGTGATGCCCACGGTGAAAACGGAGGCCTCGTCGCAAACCAGCTCCTGCAGCGGCCACGTGGAGACGAGGATAGAGTCCGCCTCCTCCCTCCACCTCATGCAGTTCCAGGCCAACTTCCAGGCCATGGCTGCGGAAGGGGAGGTCACCATGGAGACCTCGCAGGTTGCCGAAGGGGGCGAGGGCCTGATCAAGTCTGGAGAGCTGCAGGCCTGTAGCTCCGAGCACTACCTGCAGCCCGAGACCACGGGGGTGATCCGCGGCGCCGGTGGGGTCCCCGTCCTCCCAGGCAACGTGGTGCAGGGCCTCTACCCTGTGGCCCAGCCTGGCCTGGGCAATGCCTCCAACATGGAGCTCAGCCTGGACCACTTTGACATCTCCTTCAGCAACCAGTTCTCCGACCTGATCAATGACTTCATCTCCGTGGAGGGGGGCAGCGGCACCATCTATGGGCATCAGCTGGTGGCGGGGGACGGCGCAGCGCTCTCCCAGTCGGAAGACGGGGCCCGCGCGCCCTTCGCCCAGGCGGAGATGTGCATCCCCTGCTGCAGCCCCCAGCAGGGGAGCCTGCAGCTGAGCGGGGCCGAGGGCGGGGCCGGCGCCATGGCCTACATGCACGTGGCCGAGGTGGTGTCCGCCAGCCCCGCGCAGGGCGCGCTGGGGCTGCTGCAGCAGAGCGCTCGGGTGTTCATGGTGACCGACTACTCCCCGGAGTGGGCGTACCCAGAGGTAAGCCGCTGCGGCCCTCAGCCCCGGCGCAGGGAGGCTGGTGTGCATGGGGCTGCCCTTTGGAGGAAGCTCTGACCCTGCAGACGGAACTGTCCCTTTCCTCTGTCCCTGACGCCTTTCTCCAGCCGTGGCTCCCAGACTTCACAGAAGCTGGGAAGTCCCGGGTCTCCAGGGGGCCAGTGGCCCTCCCCACTCCCACCAGAGCCTGGCTTCTCATGTATTAACATCCCACCTGGGTTTGCTCGGCTTTCTATCTATTTTTATTATTATTTTTTTAAAATGTCCTAGGGCTGCCAAGACTAAACAAAACAAATTCAGAAATCACCACCACAGGCCGTCCGTATCCGTTATTCTTGATTTGCTTTACTCAGTGCGTCAGAACATAAGCGAATTCCCATCCACTGTGCGAGGAAGGGCACGGCGTCCGGAGAGCCATCCATGAAAGTTTTGCGAGGAAACCGGCCTCTGTAAAATCAAAGGCGCTCTCCATGACCCGGGATGTCCCACCTGTGACCTCCTCGCCCCCACCTTCAGTTGCTCCTCAGCCCGGGGCCCCGGAAAACGCAGGTCTTGCCCCCATGGCGGGGAGTGGAAAGACAAAACCTTGCCTTTTACTCTGAGGTAGAAGCCACAAGAGGCGGACAGAGTGGCCTGAGCTTTCCTGGGGCACACGCTCCCCGACTCCGGGGCATCAGTCGGGCTCTGCCGTGACTTCACCTCTCTGTGACTCAGTTTCCTCGCTTAAAAAGTGGCAAGAGTCCCCTCCTCAGGGCAAGGTGTAGTACCAGGAATGTTTGGTAAAATATTTGTCTGTAATAAGGAATCAGTGAATATTGTTTATTGTCCTGTGGTTGCCACAGCTTGAGGCCCACTGGCGTCCTTTCCCTGCCCCGCTGCCATGGCTGGGCCACTGAGGCCCACTGAGCAGTTTCCTGTCCCTCCTTCTCACGGGTTGACCGCTAACAACCTTGGGGAAGTCACCTGGATGGTGGGCCTCACAGTTACAGCTCTGACCAGAAGGCTCATTACTCCCTCTGCTCTTTATTTTATGGCAAAGCACAAATAAAATCCTGCACCAATGTCCCCAGCTCTCAGGAAGGTGGCACATCAGCTCAGCCAGCAGCCCAGGCTCCGTTCCAGGGGGTCCTGGAAAGACGGTGGGGGGTCTGGACAGAGCAGCTCCTGCCCCGCACTCTGTCCCTGTGCAGCGTGTTCAGTGGGTGTCCAGAGGCCGTCACCCTGCGTGCTGAGGAGCATGGGGCTGGGGCCAGACAGTGTGCGCCCACCCTTACTAGCTGGTGACCCGGGGCAAGGTCACTAGCTGCCTTTCTTGTGTCTCATCTCACTGGCTGGTTGTTAAGGACTGAGTAAAGTACTTGGGCAGCAGCCACCCCTTCCATCCATCTCCATGGCTCCTTCCCCAAGACTCTGGAAGATTCTGACCAGGCCTACCCATGGTGTAGCACCCACCGTGTGTCACCCTCCACCCCAAGTGACAGGTCAGCTCAGCCCAGCCGCCTGCCCCCCACCCAGGGCTAAGAAAGCAACTCAAAGGAACAGGGAGGGGGCCTAGCGAGAGGTCAGCTGGGAGACATGGCTCCCTGGGCCTCAGTTTCCTGCAAATGGCTGAGAGGCATGGCCTAGGCCTGGGAGGTTTGGTTCTCAGGACCCTTGGAGGCGCCCCAGAGCCTGAGACCTGTGGGAACTGGAGGCCCAGGAGAGGAGCCGTCTTTCCCCAGCCTTGGGCTGTGCACACTGGGCCCCCGGCAGGGGTCCAGGCCCACCATCTAGCCTTCATGGGCTTGGGGGCACTGGCGAGGGGCTATTAGCCGACCTGGTCCCCTGTTCTGTACCCCAGTACCGGCAGGTCCCCAAACTGTACCTCAGGGAAAGTCAGTTCAGCAGCCTGCCACGCGAGGGCAGCACGGGAGCGGGAAAGAATGTGGGTCTGGGCTCCTCCGAGAGGGAGCGTCCAGCCCTGGTTTTCCAGAAGCCCTTGATGCTTCCAGGAAACAAAAGCAACTCAAATTCAATTTGATTTGGGAAATGCACAGATGCCACCCAGCTGGTCCCTTTGGAGCCCGATGGCCACACGGTGAGGCCTCTGCAGAGGCCCCATGGGCTCTGACCAGCCACTTCCTCCTCCCTGGCCCCTGGCCACTGGGCCCTGTCCAGCAGCAAGGGCCATCCCCTCCTGGGTTCCCCATCCAGAGACACTTCCCGCCCCCTCACAGCCCCCTGGCTGGCACGTTTGCCTCTTGCCCTCCTTGCCAATGGTGCCAAGAGCTCAGTTCTAGCCACGCTCTGCCGAGCACGATACACAGCAGCACCCGTAGCAAGTCACCCAGGCCCGGGGACGCTTCTCGAGCTAAGCGATCCGGGCCCTAAAATCCCCTCCGCGGGAAAGCGAAGGCCGGGTCACCTTGCTGTCTCTTCGGGGAGTGTCCTCCCTCCCACCTCCCTGATGCTCTCTCCCCCTCTTCACCGCAGCTGCAGCAGGCCCCCAATATGTGCACACACGCATGCCCGTGCCCCGGGATCTGCCCTGGGCGCCTCAGAAATCTGGGTTCTTTACCTCAGGGCTCCCAGGGCACAGACCTCAGATGGCGTCTGCCGCCCCCTCCCCTCCCCCAAAACCTCTGCGTCATCTGCCTCCACGGACAGTTGGCGGCAGCAGGCGGGGGAAGCTGCAGTTAGAGCATCAGGGGCCTGCGTCACCGTCACCGCTGGACTGACAGCAGCCAGGCCCTCGTTGCCAGGGGAACGGTCCCCCGAACCTCCGGGTGCTGAGCGCATCCTGCAGCGGTTTCCATGGAGAGGGCCCTGCTGTTCTCCAGTTCTTTGTTCCTCAGGCCGCCCCAGCTTCACACCAGCATCTCCCCGTCTGGGTTGTTCTTTGTTTCCTTCCTTCTCACACGGTAACCTTCTGTGGCTTTTTGAAGCTGCTGCTCTTCCGCTTCCCAGGATCCAGGGAAGGTCGTGCCCTGAGCTGGCCTGTGGTTCCACCTGTGCCCCCGGCGCACGCCTCTGAGCTGGCGCCCAGCCCCCAGCCCGTGGGCCCCAGTCCTGCCACAGTTCAGATCTCCCGAAGGAACCATGTATCAGCCCCAAGGAATGTTAAGGCCGGAAGGGCCATCAGAGAGGTTGGGCCACTTGGCTGAGGACACACAGCTACCGAGGGACAGAAGCAGGCCTCTCGCTTTCGGCCTCTGGGCCTGAGCTATCTCTGCTGTCCCCCTAGCAGTGAGGTGGCTTCTCCAAAACCATCCCATCCCATCCAAGAGCCCAGGTGGAACGCCTGTCAGTCAGGAAAGGTCCCTCCTGCGCTGGGCTGTGGGAAAGCCCCCCTCCCCTCATCCCTGGAAACACCCCCTCCTGCTCTTGATGCCCAAGGCCAGCTCTGGTCCAGGTCTGGGTTCCAGGAGCATTGTGGGCAGCCCGGGGGTTAGCCTTGTGTTGAGGCTGGGGGTCCCTCCATGGTAGGGGTGGGCCAGTGCCAAGGAGGGTCCACGCAAGAACTGGTGACTGGGCAGGAGAGAGTCTCTGGAGGGGGCCAGGAGTGGGACAGCTGGGGTCTGGCTTCTCTGTTCTGGAGAGGTGGGGAAAAGGGGGCCTGAACCCCTCACCCCTTGTTCCGCACCCCCAGTCTCCAGCAGGTACGCGGCTCAGTTTTCTGCAGCCTGGACACTAGGTGGCGCTCTCCACCCTGTCCTGAGAGTCTCGGGCCCCCTGCTGGGAAAGGTGGCTGGGGCCTGGCGTGGGCCATCCAAGGAGAGCCAGAGGGGCCAGCATCCCCAGGCCCCAGCTCTAAACCCCTGTCCCGCTCAACCCCCTCCAACTCTGAGCCCTCCCCCCCATTTTTGTTTCTGCAGCCGTTCTCGTCTGCGCCCCCCTTTCCCACGATTGCTGCTCTCCCCAGTGGGGGTCCTGCAGCTCTCCCTATCCCCACCAGAACTCCCTGTTCCTGGGGTGACACTAACATGCTCAGGCCTATTTTCAAAACTCGGAGTCCCCAAAACCTGCGCGCAAGTAAATGACAGAAGAAGCTCCCTCCCTCCCCACCCCTTCCCTCCAGGGCTCCTGCCTGGCCCGTAGCAAACTGAAAAGGTTTGAACAACCCCGTGCTGCCTTCTGCGTAGAACTGAAAGTTGCATAGAGAGGGTCAGGGACCAAAACCGCTGGTTGCGGTGCAGGATGCTAGCTGAGGAAGGCAAGGGACGTGTGGTGTCCCCCTGCCGCCCACAGAGGCTTGGTCTTCCTGCCGCCATCCTGGGAGAGCGGTTCTGGAAACCCGGGGCTTTCTGGAGTCCAGGAGTGTGCACGTTCACCCAGCACGTGGGGCGGGGGCAGCCTGCAAGGCCCGAGTTCCCGTCCCCCCCTCCCGCTGTGGCTGACGTTCCTCTCTGTCCCCTCCAGGGAGGAGTGAAGGTTCTCATCACAGGCCCGTGGCAAGAAGCCAGCAATAATTACAGCTGTCTGTTCGACCAGATCTCAGTGCCTGCGTCCTTGATTCAGCCCGGGGTTCTGCGCTGCTACTGCCCAGGTGAGGGGACCAGCCACCCGCCACGGGTTCAGGGGGGCCCCCAGGAGTGCTGCACCAAGGCTCAGCCTGGGCGCCACCTGGGACAAGTCACGTCAGTACTTTGAGGCTCAGGGTCCCCCGCTGGGATGGAGGGGTCCCCGAACAACTAGTATAACATCATCAGTTGAGGCTCACAGAGCACTGAGCAGTGCAGAGAGGGATGGAGACCTGGTGGCAGTGGGACGGAGGGTCAAACTGAGAATAATGGGTGCTAACTCCCTTGAGAATGTGGAGCCATGCACCCGCACCCCAAAAAGGGCACATCATGTAATTTGCTTCCAGTTTCAGGGGTAAGAGCCCTCTGCTGTCCTGTGACTCTGACCTTCACCTCCCTCCCTCATCATCATCTGCTTAGCTAGACACACATTCCCATCTGCTCAACTCCTTGACCTCTGGCCTGCCAGCCCCATGCAGTCGGGACCCATGTCTTTCTCGGTCACCATGTGTCCGCCAGGGCACCTCACAAGGAGATCAGTATTTGTGAAGGAATCTGTTTCCAGAGTTCTGGTGTTCCAGTGCCCATGGTGGGTAATGTGTCCTTGGGCTGACAGTAGCTCCAGGGATGGCCTGTCCAGCTCGCCCGGAGAATGAACGGAGAGTAAGCCCTACCCCGTGTTATCTGAAGCCAGGCATCTACAAAAGGAGCCAGTGCTCCCTGTGGAGGCTGAGGGTTTGCAAAGACAAGTGGGGACAGGAATCTTGGGCCACCCCAGCTCTCTGCCTCCATCCACACCATCCCCTCCAGCCTGGGGCTCCTGGATTCACATGGAACGTTCTTCCTTCATTTTTGCTCCTCTCCCTGTGCAGCCTGCTGGGGCAGAATGCTCTAGAACTGGGTTCCCAGGTTTAGCCCCCACGTGAACTTGGCACCTCCCTCACCACAAACATTGCAGAGAGGCATGGATGATGCCCAGGGTGGCCTCCCCTTCCTGGCCCTGCCCCCACCACTGCCTGGCCAGCTCCAGAGGACGCACTTAGCCCCCTTTGCTCCCGGCAGCCCGGCTTGGCCTGGAGCACAGCCCTCAGCAGGCCAGCGCGGGTCAGCCTAGCACAGCTCCAGGCTGCGTGGCCAGTGCCACCGCCACTCCCCACCACCTCTGTTCCAGGGGGCAGGGGGAGAGGGCAGCCTGTTATCATGCCGTCAGCTCACCACCTGCTGCGGGAGCAGGACTCGCCTGCTCTATAAATAGAAACCACTTCCGGTACCTGGGTCTTGCCTGGCAGAGGTCCCAGACCTTGCCTGTCCTAGGTTACCTGACCCTTCCACAAAAAGACTGGCCTTTGCATGCCCTCTGGACAACATCCCAAGCCGGGACCTGTCGCATCACAGCACACCCCAGATAGCCACTTACCATCTGGTGACTCTAGGCCCGTACTTGACCCCTCAGGGCCTCCATTTCGACATCTGAAAAGCCAGCTGTCAGATGGGTGAGAGCAGAGGGGGAGGAAGGTCCATGTAGCGCTGGGTTCCCGGGCTCAGTTCAGGAAGGCGCTCCGTGACACAGGTCTTTCTGTGTCAAAGAAGAGAGGGGCTCAGCGCTGTTGGGTCTCTCGGCAGGCCGCTGTGCTGGTCCCAGAGCCTTCCTGGGTCCCAGACCCTGGCAACAGAGTCTGCCTAGGAGAGCATGTCTCCCAGGGGTTCAGCTCCTCTAACAGAGCACGTCTTGGACTCAGAGATGAGAAGCCACAGGCTCAGACGGACACAGAGACCCGGGGCCCCATGGCTCGAGCACCCTTTTGTTCTGCAACTAACCACAAAGAGGGGGTCCCCTTGGGACAGCTCTGCTTTCAGGCCCAAACTAAAGTATGTCACTCTGTAAGACAGTGCTGAGTGTAGGCGCGCATTCCTTCATTCATCAGATCGTTTACCAGGCCCTGCTAGGCATCTAGGATGGAGTAAGGCTGAAGACCCAGCCCCTCAGCCCAACTCTGAACCCGAGGAGCAATCGGCCCAGGGAGGAATCAATCATGCAAACAAACCACTGCCTTGGCAGGAGGGGGCAGGGGTAGACTGGCTGTGAGGGCCCCTCCCTGAGCCTTCCGAGGGCTCAGGAGAATGAGCTGATCTTGGGGAAGGAACACCTGAATCCAGAGCCAAACTGGCCTTGCCAGAGAGAAGGGCCCAGAGGCCGGGGAGCACAAGACAAGACACCTCAGGAGCAGGGAATGAACGGGAGGAGGGGACACAGGGGGCACACATGGCCACCACTCACTAGCCCGGCACCGTGATGAAGAGACCAGACCCTGACCAGGGACACGGTCCCCTACCACCACGGGCCACAGACCCATGGAGCGTGGAGTCTGCCCCCTACAAGATCTTGGTAGTGCTCCAAGCTCAGGAGAGAGACAACCAAGTCAGGGCACTGAGCTCAGGGGGAGGGGCGTGATGACAGAAGACCTGGGACTTCAGGAAAGGCGCCCCTGGGCTCAGGAGGAGACAGGAGAAGCCATCAACCAGAAGACTTGGCTGGCAGGAAAGCCCTACTCTGGGTTCCTGGGAGGTCCCCAAAGACAAGGGGTAGAATTCAACTTGAGGTAGGCAAATGCACTGCGTTTTGAAGCAATTCATTCAACAAACGGTTGAGGGGCTGTACCGTGCCAGGCACTGACCTTGGCCCTGGGCACGAAGAGGCGACTAAGACAGACCTGCGCCCAGCTCTCGCGAAGCTTACACTTGACTGCAAGAGACAGAAAGAAACAAGGAGACAAATCGCCAAGCAAGTCGGAGGGAGAGTGGAACAGGTTGTGGGGGAGCCGAACACTGCAGGGCTGGAGAAGATGGTAGGGACCAACCCCTGTCCATCCTTCTGAGTCATGGGAAGGAGTCTGATTTGGTTTCACTTGCAATGGGAAGCCATTAGTTTTAAGTAGGGAAGTGATGCGATCTAAATCATGTCTCTAAAAGATAATTCCGGGTGCGTGGGAGAACAGATTGCTGGGAGGAAGAACAGAAACACGGAAACCGTAGGAAGCGGGCAGAGGGGTGATCTTTCCTGACTTCGGGAGGGGTGCTCCCTGGGCAACGCATTCCCACCAGTTTCAGGTGGGGGCTTTGGGACGTAGCCCCCCCACCCCCCGGCACCATCCTGGCAGGAACAGGTGGGTCTCCGGATGGCTGAGGTTGCCCGCAGCAGGACTCGAGGTGAGAAAGGCCGGCAGCTTGGCTCAGAGCGGTGGCAGGGGGGATGGAGACAAGTGGAGGGGCCAGCACCCGCTGACGCTCTGAATGAGGGGAGGGAGCGAGCCGAGGACGAGCCCTGCGCAATGGCCTGCCTGCACCCAGCTGCTGGTCTGGGACCCAGAGACGAGGATAGGTCCTCTCCTCTCCGTTCTGTATCCCTGTGGAAGGATGGGATGCTTTCGATCGTCCACATTCCAGCATCACAGGTGGTACAAGTGCCAGGAGATGCCGGGAGGTGTGGAGAAGAACAGGGGTTGAGGAACTCCCCACCTAGGCGCAGAGCTGAGCAGGCTCAGCTGGGGTGTGGCAGGCTGCGTTTTCTCCTGTTGGTAAACAAGGCAAAGCTCCAGGGAGGATGAGTGACCATGAACTTGGAAGTCTGCCTGCTGCCTGGGGACGCTGTCAGGGCCGCCGGAGGATCTGGACTTGGCCGGGAACCCCTGCCCAGAGAGGCACTGCAGTACGTCCTACAGGACCCCCTCCCCCCAGCCCACCGTGGAACCAGCTAGTTCAGCTTCTGGTCTGGAGCTAAGAGACCACACCGGGGTAGAAAGTGGAGGGGAAAACCCACTGGTCCCCCTGGGGCAATGACATCCTGAAGACCTGCTCTGGGGACAGTGGCATCACACATCTACCTGGGGTGAACAGAGGCCACAGCTCAATGAGCTGGCTTTCCCATGGGAAGCAAGGTCTGACTCAGAGGGAAGCCGGAGCTCTACGCCTCCCCGGGGAGCAGCTGACTTGGACGGCTTTCTCAAGTCTGTAAACTGCAAACCAAGTGCCCAAGCAGTAACATGATCGCTGTGTGCGTCCTCCCTGGAAATCTGTCCTGGGGAGGCCCCGGGCACCGGTATCTGGTGTTCCAAAAAAGCAGGGCAGAGAGCACAGAGCCCTGACATCTACCAGAGGACGAGGCCTGGTGGGGTGAGCAGGCTGCACGCCCATACTGGCCCCAGGGGCCATCTCTGTGGGCCACTGCCCCCAAGATTTCAACAGTAGCTGTGCAGCCCCTTTTACCCCAGAACCGAAGCAGGTTTCCTCCAGGGGCGGGTTCTCTTCTTGCCGATAGCAAGACTGTCCCAGCTGTTTATTCAAGCCATGCAGTCTTCATTGAGCCCTATGTTGGGGACAGAAGGGTTAATGAGACCCACAGTGGCCTGCCTTCCGAAAGGCCACAGGCTTGGCATGGGAGGGAGCCCTAAGCTTCGTGCGAGCACCCCCGGATCGGCCCCCGTGGGCCCAGAGTAACAGGCACGGCGGAGGCTCTTGCCCTGGTCGGGAAGGCAGGGGAACTTCTGAAAATGCATGGGAGGCCATGCTGAGCGCAGCAGGACAAGCTTGCAGGAGAGGATGAAACAGAAGTAAGCACCAAGACTCCGCAGCAAATGCTGTTTCTGGACGCCGTCTAGGAGGGATGGGGTGCGGGAGAAGCCAGGCAGCCATGGGCGGGGTTGGGGCCCATTCATTCACGCGTTCATTCAGCAAATCCGCACTGACTTCCTACCTGTCCTCACCAGGGAGCGGAGGCGATTACAATACGGGGTTTGGGAGTGATCACGGGGCGCCTGCCTGAGTCTGGCGTCCAGAGAAGTTTCCTGGAAGGAGAAGCACTACATCTGGGCCTCGAGGAAGGAGCAGGCAGAAGCTGGGGTCACCCAGGGAAGGGCGAGTGAGGAAGGGGCCCTCCAGGTTCCTGTGTGGTACAACAGACGGAACGGTGCCCACCCCCGACCCGACCCTGACCTCTCTTTCCTTTTCTTGCAGCCCATGACACTGGTCTTGTGACCCTACAAGTTGCCTTCAACAACCAGATCATCTCCAACTCAGTGGTGTTTGAGTACAAAGCTCGGGCCCTGCCCACACTCCCCTCCTCCCAGCATGACTGGTTGTCACTGGACGGTAAGAACGGCGCTCGGGTTGCCGGGTGCTGAGGAAAAGGGACCCGTGGGGACCCTGTGTGCAGGGTGTGAAAAAGAAAGAAGCATTCAGGTTCCCTAAGGTCCACTTGGGGCAAAAGTCTCTACCACAGACGGACCAGCTGGGCTGCTCTCCCTAATCTAGGTCTCTCTGCCACAGAAGGAATTAGATGAGCTTGGGCCTCCCAGGGGATCTGAGTGGCAGATAAACCCCCAAGTTGCTCAGACGTTCCTCTCTGGACAGGGCCTGAGAAGCTGGGTCTGCGTGGGTTCTCCTGCCCCCAAGCCAATTTCTAGGGTGTCCTCGCAGAGAGAGCCCCTGGAGGCCATCCCCAAGTCCTGAGCCTCTTAGTGATGAAAGCAGAGTGGGCAGTCCAGGGGAGGTGGCTCAGGCTCGGCTCCTTACATGTTCCAAGTCCTTGATGGGGGTGGGGGAGGGGGGTTGTATTAAGTGCTTTTGCCTCCTGGGGGTAACAGACCAAACCTCGCAGAAGCCCTCCAACACCTGTCACCCCCGGCTTCCAGGCTGTTTCTACCTTAGCCTCTGCCCCATAGAGCATCTGAACCAAGTCCGGGATCATCATCATGGCTGACGGTGGAGGGCCAGGGAGCCCCAATAGGCTCAGACGGAAGAGACAGGACCTGCTGTCCCAGGATGGCTCTCTGAGAGCCACTGGCCTTGAACATGAGTGAAGGTTGGCACTGGAGGCTCTGCAGAGAAAAGCTGCCCAAGCCAGGCGGGGGAGGCCGCCCAGCTCTGAGCATGCCTAGCAGAAGTCCCAGAGCGGGCCTGGGGAGCCGAGCTGTAGTCTGCTAGCTGGCCCCGGGCCAGAGCGGGAGCAATGGCTGCACACACGTCAGTTTCAGGGCAGCCCGGAGGAGCAGCAGTCTGTGGGGTACTTGCCAGAGACCTCATCAGCCCGAGGTGTGGGCTTTGCCCCAGCTGCCCCGGGGCCCTCTGTAGGGATCACTTCCTTAAGCACCTCTCCCCTCTGCACACAGCAGCCCTTGGCCTTGTCGACTCCCAGACGTCCCCCTGGCTGCTGGCGGCTGGAGGATTTTCTGGGCGTGGGCACATGCCCTGGGCAGCTTTCCTGAGCCACCCCCTGTGCAAACCTCAGCCTCATCCCTGCCCCGCTCCAGCAGCGACAGGGTTCCTGGCGGCCACCCTGGCCACCGAAAGCCTCCAGGCTGTTCCCAGAGGTGGCTTTGGGTCAGCAGACATCAGCACCCTGGCAGTAGCAGCATGGGAGCCCCGGGCTGGCCTTGGCAGCCACCCTGGGCAAGCCTGGAGCCACCGAGCTGGGATGACGGCCTGCACGACTGCAACAGAGAAGGGCGGGGTGACCGGGGCTCCTGCTCAGGAAATCCGGTTTGGGTTTTGCAGAACCAATGGGAAATGGGACAGGGTACTCTGCAGAATCCCAGCTCTTCCTGAGTGACCAGGTTACCTCCCCCGGGGTGAGGACCCATGTAGGACCTGCCTGGGAGATGGAGCCCTTCCGAGAGCCAAGACTCAGCCAGGCAGTACCTTGGAGCCCAGGAAATACCAGCCAGCCCCTCGTGGAAGCCCAGGGAGCAAGCTGCACCCTGAGGTTACTAGCAGGGGTGGATGCTGGGACAGAGACCATGGGGAAAGGAAAACACCTCTGCTTCATTACAAACACACGTCTCAGTCCTCGGCCATACCAGGTCCCTGAAGCAATGAGCCTGTACCGCGCCAGACGCCTGATCCCCACCAGACCCTTCCCCAGAGGACTAGGAGCTCAGACCTCCAAGAGCCTCCAGTTGAAATAAGCGTCCTCCAGCCCCTGGCAAAATACACAGGAGAGATGACAGGTTGGGGAAAAGACAGGAGAGGCCCACCCCGGACAGGGAACAGACCAGGGCCCCCACAGACCTCATGAATCCCTCTCCCTCTGGTCTTGGACAGGTATCCTTTCAAGTAATGGGAGGGGAAAGTGGCCAGAGCAGAGGAACCGTGAGACCCTCCCTTCCCCTAAACGAATACAAGTGCCTTATTCACGGCAGGAAAAGTTTCCCAGGATTTCACCCGCCGGATAAATAATAACCTTGGGGGGAGGGGGGAGCCCGAACTGCAGCCGCAGCGCCAGTGCAGAATCTGCCTCATGCCAAAGGGACAGCTGGGACAGCCCCGAGGGTAGGGGGTCCACCGGCCTCTGGCCAGCCCTGTGGCTTGGCAGTGAACTTCGCGTGGGGGAGGGCGCTGCAGGGAGCAGGCCGGCGGCAGCCTTCCTTCCAGCTCCTCTCTCCCCTCCCGCCCCCACAGTTACTGGGCAGACTCGCCCTGGGAGCTGCTGGGATGTGGGGACGCGCGTGCTGCGGCGGTGAGGGGGAGGAGAGGGGGTGCAAAGGGGAGGGGGCGAGGGACTGCAGCGCCGAGCAAACTGGGGCGCGGCGGCCGGGCGGCGCGCATGCACACACGCGCGCACGCACACGCGCGCACGCAGGCACGCCCGCCCGCGCCCCGCTCCGCACCCCGCGCTCTGCAATGCAGGGGCGCCTCGCGCCCAACCCGACTGCGGCAGGGCACCGCGCACCCGGCGGGCCGCGCCTCTCCCCAGCCCTGCGCGACCGGAGAGCCGCGGGGAGCGCCGCGCGCTCGCAGCCCAGCTGCCGGCCCTGCCTGCGCCCCCGCCGCCGTGCTCCCGACCGTGGGGGCGCCGTTCGCTCCCCGCCCTCCCGGAGGGGGAGGACTGTTTGGGGAAGAGATTCTGCCTTCATTTGATTTTTTAAAGTGGATGTTTGCCAGACGGAAGGCCGCGTGGAAGCACGAGCGTGGAGCGCCGCAAACCCGCGCGGCCGCGGTCGTGCAGCCTTTGTTCCCGGCGCAGCCTTTGTCTGAGCCAACGGGCCGGGTGCAGGGCGAGCTTCTCCGGCGAAGCGCTTGGACCTCGGCCCCCAAATCACATCCGAGAGCGTAGCCATCCAGGCGGAGACCGAAGGAGGAGATGGGTGTGGGGGGAAGGGGGCGCTGCCTCCAGCACTTAGAGAGCTAGGGCGGACCTTGGGAAGCGCGGCCCTCCCAGTCCTGAGAGCAGCAGCTCCTCCGCCAGAGCTAGGTGGCTTCTCCCTCACCCACCCACCCCCAGCCCTGTCCGCCTGGAGCCCCGCTGCCTAGCGCGGGCTGGCAGGTTGCAGGCCACAATGCGTCTTTGTCCTGTGAATGTGCGCGGGAGTGACTGAGTGCCCACCAGGTACATCAGAGGAGCTCAGTCCAGCCCGGTGGGCAGGAAGGCTTCCCCGACCTAAGACATCAAGCCTGAGCAGGCTTCAGCTAAGCCAGGAGGGATGAGAAGGAGGATCCTAGGGAGAGGGCGCAGCAAGGGCTGAGGGGGTGGATGGAGCCGGGGCTGGCTTTGGCCAGGCTACTCGAACTACCATTTTCACCATTTCTTAACCCAAAGGTGCAAATTCAGCACAGATTTCCCAGGGCCTGACTGCAGAGCGTCTGGGGCAGGCCAGCTGTGCATTAGGGAAGGCAGTGGGACCTCTTCCAGGCTACAGGCAGTCAGACCGAGTTTACCCTGGAGACGTTCATGGAGGGACTCTGGGAAATGTCTCTTCTGCCTGCTGTAGGTCCTGCAGACACACACAGCCCAGGCTGTGCTGCTCAGGGAGAGGATGTGCTGGCTGTGTAGATGGTCTCCCTGTGCCTTTTTGCAAAGAGAATCCACCCAGGCCATTTGACACTGCAGCTCCAGCTCCAGGCTCCCGGAGTGGAGGGGGTGGGGCTCCCATCTCACCAAGGGCACTGGGACACCTTTAAGTGACTCCTGTCTCTGGAATAGAAGATGAGTGGAACTTCTGGGCACACAGTTCTTTTTCTTGCCACTATCTAATTCTTCCCAAGGCCAGCTAGAGAAGCCCCAGGTTCCCCCCGGCCCCACCCCCGCCAGCCCATTCTTGGATCCCCACTAAGCTGCGTAGACTTAGACTATTTTCAGTAGCTTCTCAGGCAGCAGCGCCTCTGGCTGGGCAACAGGATCCGAGTGAGGCTCGGATGCAGCAGCTTACCCCTGGCCACCTGGGCGGCCTCCTGCTGACCCCCGGGGGCAGGGAAGGGACCTTGTCATCTCCAGCAGAGTGGGGAGCAGAGGCTGGAACGGACTTCAGCCGCTAGGTGCCGGCTTCCTGTATAGGAAGCCCCAGGGCAGGGTGGGCACTCACCAGCGCTGGGGGCGCTGGGGGCGTTAAGCCAGCCTCCAGGGGGTTAAACATCTGGAAACATCAAGAGTAGAGAGAGCAACTCTCTACTAAGGAAGCGGAGAGAAGGAAAGGCAAGATTTGGCCTCCCCGTTTGATCTTCTACACTGACCAAACCCTCTATGCTAACGGACGGAAGATGTATAGCTGGGGTGGTCCCCAGCTCAGCCCCCACCTCCGAGCTGCCTGCCCTCCAGGCTGCCCCCCCGCACTATGGCTGTGCTCCTGCCACCCTCTCCCGTGATAGCACAGCCTCATTCCACCGGAGCCAGAGACCACACACTGACCTAGAGATGGTGGGGGTAGCCCAGTGGCAACAGGAGAGGCCACTCCAGCTGTGAGACTGGCCCCCAGAAGCCTCTGGGTGTTTTTTTCCCTCCCGTCGTGACACTCCAGGGTGTTCTGATGAATGGCCTGTGCAAGCTGCTCCTCGCCTGCCTCCCTCCCTCCTGCAGACCCACAGCCCACCTCCCAGGTACCCTCCTCTGAGCCTTGGCGGGACGCTGAACTGTCCACATGGGAGAACACACACAGAGTCAAGCAACTGAGTTGTAAATCATGTAGAATGTCACTGTTTTACTAAAAACAAAGAAGTTGATTTTATGGAGTTGAATATAAAATCCACAAGAGTTTTTAAGATAAGACATACAACGGGAGGGAATTGTCTTTGACTTTGGAGAGGTGACTTGAAGTCCCTCCATTGCCAGTGCCTGCGGGCCTGGCCTCACCTGCCTCTGGGAGGACTTTAGAGAAGCT